GACATCTGTTCCAGGTGGCAATGGAACTGTAGGGAATGTTTCAGGTTTGTCGACCACTGGTAATGGAATAATTGATTTTAAGGTCGTGTTCCATGATACCTTTCGTACATTGTTTGAGGTGTCGGCCTCTGAGGAACTTCCTTCTACATCTACATCTTCCACTTCGTAGCTTTTTGTACGGACAAAAGCACAACTTTAATAACAAGATGCGATGTCAAAAAGATCAGATAGGTGAAACGAACCGGTTCTTGTCATTTGAAATACATCTCACTACTCGAGCCATGATCCACTCTGCATCGGTGGAACGAGCAGCATCAGAAGGTTTTCTCGGACGTTTAAAAGCAACAAGTCGACCAGGTAAGAGTGGAAGTTGATCACGTAAAGCAGCCATTCGAGTCGATTTATTCACCCCTTGTCTAGTGTCTCGACGGTTCGTTGTTGTTGTTGTTGTTGCTGTTGATGGTTGATCTGACAAGATTGGAGTTGTAGCGCGAGACACGACCTGAGATGATCGAGGATTTAAAGGTTGCGTGAGATGAAGTGGAGCAGGTGATGATGTACGACTTGTAGAAGAGACCGGAGGTTCGAGAAGAGATGAAGAAGCTGGTGAGTCCATCGGCTCAGCCGAGGTGTGCTCTATCCTACGCTTCTTCGCAGCTCGGCCTGGAGAGAGAGGAGACCAATCCCTCTCTCAATCATCTCCTTCCTCGACTGCTTTTGTATAGAATGAAAACTCGAATGGAACGGATAGGGTATAGAATGGGTTTAAAGAGGAATGGTGAGATGGAACATACCTTGTTGAGGTGGATCGGGTGGAGCTTCACGGAGGGCAATCAGAATAGCAAGACGTTCGAGAAGCACTTCAAGGATGCTAAAAGGAGCAGGATATTAGCCTGTGCAGGTGTGATGACTATGAATATACACGTACGCTTCTTCTTCAACTGTGTCTTTCAAAAGACTTTCAATGGATCCGACGAGACCTTCTAAATCTGATGTCAACGGACTAGGATCGTCAATAGAAGATGGTAATCGGTCTTGGAGAGCGGCTAGATGAGTGAGTCGTTGATGAAGGTCACGCCAAATGCTAAAAGCTGATTGATAAACGTTTTAGAAAGAATTCGCGATGAGTTAGCCAGCGGATATGGTCCCTTTGGATCATTGATATGATAGTATCACGATCACTCAAGAATTGAGATCTGAATAAGATCGAATGATTATCCAGGTCCATGGGTCAGCCATTATCATCTGCAGTGCGATCACCCAAACTGGCAAGCAGACAAGCAGTAAAAGCTGACCATCGATCGTAGACAGAACATCCGTGATATCATACATCATTGGACTTTGCCAAATCCCACATGGGTCGATTGAGAGAAGAAGTACCAAAGTAGTTTTTGGATTGACATGAAACCTACCTTCAGCATCAGCATTTGTAGATGAGTTTGATTGAGTTTGACCACGTCTACCCATGATGTGATTTGGTTTTCTGGTGGTCGAATGTTGAAGTTGAAGTTGAAGTGGTTCAGTTCGCACTTCAAATTTCAATTTCACTTGGATCTTCATCCTTGACCCACTCTTCACCGAGTCCGACACGTCCCGGTCCTTACCTACTCGAGTGGTGGTCCGATCTAGGCCCCAGGAACACGCCAATCTGTGAAACTTCTACCCTGCAGCGGTCCGGCAGGTATCACATTCATGAAACCAACCTCGCTGGCTTTATGTGCTTTTGGTACCACTTCCTTACATCTTGAATCTCCTATTTCCTGTCTAGGTAGATGATTTTATCTATCTACCTCAAAAATGGGAGGCTACATATGTATCTTTGTAACTTGATGGGGTTCCGATCTGGATTGAACACAAGTTCATGCACAAGATATGGAGGAATATACCTGTCTACATTGTGGTACAATAATTGTGTCTCAATCACTGGGGAGACCTTAATCATGATGATCTGGAAATTGGTTGTTCACCTACCTATAAATGACTGAGGCCCCTGCTTGTTCAGTCTCACTTTATGGCCTATTGATAGATGCACAAGGGACCCTCTGTTGGTGTTTGACACCATATGATTGAGCCCCTGCCATCTCACTGCAAACTGCAAACATTAAACAACTTCCTGTTCAATTGTGCAGGGGGAAATGATTGGAAGTATAATTGGTTATAAGGGATTGATCACTGCACACCTGAAGCATATCACCCACACTACATGTGTGCAGCAGAATGGATAAATCGAGAGCTATCATGTACATACCACCCACTCCGGTAACCGGTGTGTGATGTGTGCAACCGACTGCGCACCACCAAAAAGTTGCACCAATTTTTGGTTGCATATGTGTCCCAAAAAACCGATTCGGTAAACCAAAATGTGACAGAAGACGCACACGCATTTTTGCACATATGTGCAAAAATTGTGCACATTCTTGAAAACAACTAAAAGTTGAATCTTTTCAAATTAATGCAACTGCAACTTCCCATTGCTCTCTCTTTCCACCCATCACTCTCCCTCTTTTTTGTACTTCACCAAATTCCATCCCTCATTACCACTAGCAACATCAACTTATCATCCCTGGACTTCCATCTTCAGACAGAGGATCCTCTGAACAACCTCAATCTTGACATAACCTTTTCAATCTTGATACGGCCTTCCTTTTGTCAATATCAACAAACCATATTTGCATTCAAACTTAATATGTATCAACCTTCTTTGATTGATCCCAAGTTCCTTGTTTTCGTTTTGATCACAAATTGTTTCTTTCATCTCAACTCCTCGAGTAGTATTCAATCATTTGAGTGTGGGGCTGTATTTGTCTCTCACTTATTACCTCTTTGTCTCTTCTTATTGTATTGTCCATGTGATTTGACATTGTCACTCTTAAAGATTGTTTCTGATGCAATTGATGATAAAAGAAAATGAATCAAAAGGAAAAATCACACAAGTCTTGAGGGTTTCAATGGTTCAAGTCAAAAAGCAAATGATGTTGTGGCGCTGGAGGGAGAGAAATTGGGTGAGATTCAGACCATTTGACTGCTTTGGCCATCAACAAAGTCAATGACCTTGTTTACCTAACAGACGGTGCCTGTTTACCAAACGTTCCCAAAAAGTGAAGTGTTGTGTGTTTTATACATACACACACAATGAGAAAATTTCTCACCAAAATATAAAAGTTGCATTAAACTATTAATGCAACTTATTTTGCCAAAGTGAGTGTACAGCACTGCTCAGCTATTGGCTCATCTGGATGAGTAAATCATATGAAAAACCTGCTGTATTTTTTCCAGTTTGACAAAAGCATTGCAAAAATTGACTACATACATACACTGACTCATACTGTAGTTTTGTTGTTTTCATCTACCAAACTTCATTTGACACCCTTTCTGTTACTGTCAAATGACCTGCAGAGTAATGCCAGTTTAGCTATGGAGGTATATGTAGACAATTTTTTGGGGGATTTTGTCAAACTGGAAAAAGCTACATGAAATATCACATGGGATTTACTTATTCAGATGAGCAGGTAACTGAGCAGACCTGCATGTAACATACATCTTGAGTTGTTTTTGTATCCTTTGGTGAGGCGGTCAGGTTGGTCTTCTTGGGCTTATGGCTGGGTAGATGATGATAAGGCTAAATCATGGATAGGGATTTGAACCACAACAATTTTTTCCAATCCATCCCACAATCTTTCAAATCTTATCCAAAAGCAGCTCCAATATCTTCTGAAGTTATGAGGATGACATTTTGGAGAAAAACCCATGTTCTATTGGATTTATAACTCTTGTATGTGAATGATCTATGTTGACGCAGCAAAGCAGGAGAACAAACATGACTTTGGAAGTTGAGAAACATGCTGTGTCCAATAACAGCTTTGGCCAATATTTGATCAGGAAGCTCCTCTGACTTGTACTTGAGAAGTTTTGCATCAAGGTGAGAGAGTAAAAAGCAGTGGAAATGACTGATGTGGTGAGCAGGATCTTGTAAATAAGCAAAAAAAAGGTGTAGGTGTGTGTTTAGTCAAAGTTTTGTTTTTATTGGTTATGTTTAATGTTCAACTGGTGTGTTATAAGCAATTATAAAGAGCTTTGATTATTGGAATCATTCACATATTAATTATACAACTTAATAAAGGTAGCAAGAGATAAAAAAAAGTCAAAAAATCATAAAAAAAGTAGAATTAGTAAGATTCAATTAATGATAAGGTATTGAAGTTGGGATTGATGAGGAAGAACATTAAGTTTGTATTCAAAAGAATTATGAAAATAACAAAAGAACAAGATTGAAAGATTAAGAATTGAGGAAAAAGTCAAAAATGTAAGTGCAATAAGTCAGAAAATGGTTTTTAGGGTATTGATACATACAACTCCTAAACCTTTGTGGGCTTAGGGCTTGAGAAGTCTGCTTCTCAAGCCTGCTCTTACCCCATGGATGGTGATTCTAGGATATGGCTTAGGCCCCATACTAGATCTCACCTTCTCCGGGACTACCCCCACACCACACGCAAATGGCTTATTGGTCTTAAGGAAAAGACAGTATACCAGAGTGGTGGAGCTTGCTTGGAAAGGTAGATTTCAGTTGAATACATATGGAAGATTAGATAGTACCAATTAGGTAATACTGATAGAGTCCCTTCTGACTCAGACCTACTCTCCTTGAAAGACAAATGGATATAAGTTTGCAATTGTTTCTGGATTTTGTATGCTATTATCAAAATCTTGAGAAAGCCTAACATTACATAGGACTTCTTATTGCAATTTTTGATTGTGAAGAAAGACAAGAGGTCTAGAAGAGAATGCAAGGGTTGAATTGCATGTCCATGTTGAAATTTAAATGTTAACCCGTAAAATGTTGTATAATTGATGAAATGAAATAGGCTGATTCACAAAACTAAGATGGTGCTCAATTTTAAATAACAGATGAATAGATATGTCCACAAATTTGACTCCTCATAGTCTATTCCCAAATTCAATGAGAATGGTATAAGAAACTGGTTTGACAACCTTCATCCGCATTAAATCAATGGCATGCCCTCCATCTTACATGCTTTGCCCGGCGAAAATCGCTTGTGGTCCCTGCTAATCCTATCTCTAGTATCTAAATGAATGTCACAAAATTTTACATAGATCTGTCATTTGTCTCTTTCTCAAGTTTTTTCTCATGCAAGACAAAAATGACCAACCTTTATGATCAAGAAAACATACTGGAAGGTTAAAAACACAGGTATCTGTGACATCTTGAGGGGTTGATTTCCTGAATTTCAAAGTTGGAAAACAAGATTTCAGTTAGGTCTTCTGCAGGTAATATTCATGAGGTCATTAGACTCACCCATCAGCCCATGGAGAGTAACGGTATCCTCTGTTCAATTTCTGGCATCTAACTGAAGACATTATGATGAGTTCAGGACTGTATCCAAAGCTTTCCTGGATCACCTGCCCATTTTCGATTTGCCAAAATGCGTCGTCTCCATGAGAAATGAACAAATTATACATCCTGTCAAATCGTACATCAGCCCAGTTTCTTCTAAATACTACATTGGATCATTGTTAAGTTAACTCACGTGCCACCAGGTTTCCTACAGTATGATATTCTGCTTGGATCTTCAGAGGCACCATTTAAACCCTTTTCTTGACATCCCTAAAAGTAAAAGTCGTTGATTTAAGATCACAGACATAGTCAGACTGGTGTTTTGGGAGCAAAATCTCATTTGAAATCGACCCACCGATCCTACAGTAATGAAAGCGTTCTATACATGTATGAATACGAGGTCAGTACAATATTGTGACCAAGTTCTTTTTGATTGACAACAAGTCTAAAGCTCCTGGAATGTTTACACAGAGATGATCCGGAAGAATGGAAACTTACAGATCTGTTCAAGATTAGGTTTATTCCCATTGCTGTAGTGATATTTCTCACCCGATCTGTGAAGTCGGGTAAATTGATCATTTGAGCTGGTGGTAGAAAAGTTCCTCCCTTGATGACTCCAAACATGCCTTCGTCTGTGCTGATACCCGACTGAATGCGTTTCTTCAAAGTATCGTCAATTTGTTTGCGTAGCAACTGCTGATATTGTGTCAGGTAATAGGCAACATTGGACCACTGTAGATTTTGACAAACATGTTGGAACGATATTCAAATTATGCTTGAAATTCCACAAAAACACTTACTTGATCAAAACCATCTTTCAAGGGGCCAGGTGGCTCTTGGATAACAACTGCCACTGTAGCCATTCCCGCCACTATGACTTGACCTAACACATTGAAAGCCATTCCAATGGGACCAGTTGCAGCTGTGAGTGCAGTGAACAAATCAAGTAGGACTGTTGGGAGATACATGTTAGTTTTCAATGAGGTTGGTGTAAAGGGAGCTGTGACTGACCAGCTCCTGTGACCTGTGAAAATGCTGCTTGTACACCCATGTTAGCTTTCATGTTTTTTATCATTGTGGTATCTTGAGCTGGAAATCTGGATTGCGTGAATATATAAACATCAATCAAACTGGTTCTTAGCATTGGCTTTGATTTTTGAACCTCAAAAAAATAACATACAGTGATGCAATGAGCGCATTTATGGTTGCTAGATCATGTAAAAAATTGAACGAGATGAGCTAAACCCTTTTATTGCACAATGATAAAGAACAAGTTATTGAAAAGTGAAGTCAACCTACATTGAACAAGTCCAATCCCATACCCCACTGCATCAGCGTAGATGTTCATATATGTGTTATATTGCTGTACACTATACAGGATATAGAAATCCTTTAATCCCAAAGGATAGCACGGTTGACCGGCCCAGCAACTTGCTCCGATCCCACATATAAAATTTGTATAGTTCATCTTTACGGCAAAAGCCTATGTTGATGAGACAAAGAGTTTGTTTTTATCGCTATCAGGATTGTGGTCTGCTTCAACTTGGATGAAAGATGAACTCACTTCTAGACTCATGGTATTTCCGTCTGGAAGTTTTTGCATGTAGTCATCCATCTGAAGTGTTTTCCATGTTGCTTCTTCCATTGGCATTGCCTTGCATTGGCGATCCAGAGGTGGAAATTGGCCAAAACTGGGGAGCCTACTGTTTCCGTACCCTCCCAAGCCATTGTTGTTTGGAAAGCTCATTGTTTCCCCCAAGTTATTGTTGTTGTTGTTGTTACTTCCCA